TGTCCACATGCCTACGTAGGTATTAAATTTTTTCTGCGATAAATCTGAAGGATTTCAATTTTAAACAAATTACGGAAATTATAAAAATATTTTATTTCATTTAAACAAAGTTTCCCTCCATCTTTTTCTTCTTCCAAAGTAATTACCCTTTCAAATTTTGCCAAACGTCAATTTTATTGAAAAGAAGAATTAGAGATTAGAGAGAGGGAGAATTATTCGTAATCGCTTTTAATAACCTTAAATTATCAGGTGGAAATGTGCTATTTTACAGTCCAAAATTCATTATTAATTTCAAAATCAGTTATTATTTTTCACATTCTCGAGAAATATATAAGGTCAGTATATAATAAATACATAAGTACACAAAAAATGACCATACTAGTGTGTATATGAAATGTTTTAAATATTATGTAAAGATCCTATAAAATTAAGTAAACTAAAATTTATATTGAATTTATGTAAATTTTAAATGTTCAATGATCTTGTGTTAAATAGTTCACATAAAATTGGGTGGTATCAAAAGAAGAGGAAGCAAATTGCTATAAGCACTGTGTTGCAGTCGTTTTTTTGTTTCTTTTTACCAACCGCATTGTGTATTTACATAATAAGGTAGGTTATGTGATGGCAACAAATTTTGCATGTCGAGTTTTCGGTGAAAACGTACTTCTAAATAGCAGGGAAACATAAATAAACTATTTTTGGCAACCTCTCGGTCTGTGTGTGTACGCGTGTCAGCTTATTTGGACTATGGCACGGATTGATCAACTTTTGGGATATATCAGGCTTCGGGACCTTTTTAGTTCAAACAGAACTTCGGGTCTTTTTTGCATTTTTTATCATTTTGAAGAAAATATTCAACAGATCTAATTGAAATTTCATATATAAGCTTCATTCGACCGTACCCGTAATCTGCTAGCTTTTGGAAGAAATCAGCAACTGGATGTTTACTACGGGCCAAATATACATTTTTCAGTATATAAAGAGAAATAATCAACGGATTTCACTCAAATTAAATATTTTAATTCGAGATGTAAAAAAAATGAATCTTAAATTTTTTAGAAAGATCAGGATTCGGAAACTGATCTGGGTGCCGGTTTTACATTTTTTACTATATCTACGAAACGGATTGATGGAATTTGAAATTTAATATTTAAGTTCTGGTTATAATCAGAAGTTGCTGATGAACTTTACGTATAATTCGGAGGGCACAAATTGAAATTCTCTTAAGAGTCAATTTCACATTTTTCTAGGTATGTTAATTAGAATCTTATTAGCATCCTTAAAATTCTAAAGAAGTGTTTCATAATTTCCTGAAATTCTTTTAACAATCTATTATGTGCTAACCACATCAGATTTTTTGTCTTGATTTAATATTTGCAGATGTTTTAAGAGAAAGAATTTAGGTTAGAATTTTTTTTTATATGGAGAGCTTATGAATATTTTTTTTTAAATACATTAATGTGGTGGAAAATGTATACACATAACGCAATTTCAATTGGAAATAAAATCTATAAAATTTAAACTTTTTAATAGAATCTAAAAACATATTTTAAAATAATGAGATCTACCAAAATTTGAAAAATTATGATCAGTTCAGTGTAAAAAGGATTTATCGAGCAAACTAAGATTGCCTTATACTGCTATTTGAATTTGTATTTTTACAACAGATGATAGCCAACAGCATCATATACATATGTATTTCTTTCTGTATTTTAATTTTGGACGCATGGCAATCGATGAAATTTAATGAATGCGCAGTTACATTAGAAATCAAGGCTATCTGGCTAAAAGTAGCCAGAGCTACCTAAGCTCTTTTTTTCACAAAAATCGTACGACATACAGATGAGAAGATCTTAAGACTCTAGATTGCTTTTTCAACTACCGTTTAGAGTCCCATGTGCCGTCAACTTTCAAAAAATTTTCTACAATTATAATTAACGGTGTTCTAAAAAGAAGTAAAGATATGTAAAAATTTATTGATAGGAAAAGAGCTATCACTATGGGACAGAGATTGCGCGTTACGAATTGAACATAAGTTCAATGCATATTTGTGTAAATTTTTGCATGTTGCATAGAAACTTTTTTAGAACCTACAGCTTGAAGAAAATTCAAATATGTTCCAATAGCGTACGATAAGAGGAAATGGCGCATGATCAACAACTTCAAAATAAATTGTGGAATTTAGTTCAGTTGAAATATCGAAAATAAAAAATCTTTATAAAGTTATTTTAACAAAATCTTAATTAATCAGTGGGAACATATTTTCAAAATACAATAATTTATTTCCTTATTTAATTTCATTAAATTCGTTAATTTAAAACTAGTTGTATCAGAATTTTAGCCGTATTTTTTTTAAGTTTCAAAATTAGTCAATTTTGAAACTTATAAGGGTCGATAAGCAAAATTTTAAAATATTTACTTAAAATAACTATGCTTAATATTAAATTTTCGGTATTTTCATCATTGACGATTCAATTTATGATAATTAAGTACATATAGTATATATATAACACTATTTATTATAACAATGCTGCATATACATTAAATATTTAAGAGCCATTATAAAACAGAATTATATATACATATGCATAATGATGTTACACTATATTATTTTAAAGCACTTCTTCAAAAAATCTAAAAAAAATGCGCTTATTAGAAATTTTATATGTACATAGAACTTTACTAGAAGCTTATTTCCGTAAAAAAAAAATTTTACTTATTTCTCCCGCCTATAAAGCTATAACCCCCTAAAAAGGCATTTTTTAACTGTTTTGCAAATGGAAAATTATTGTATTTTAAAAAAAAAAACAAAATGGTCGTTATCTAAAATCCGTTTTTTTTTTCAAATTTTTTTCCTTGTCAAAATGTTGTTCTTCTTCTAAAGCCCAGGTTGTGAAAGCTTGAAATTTTAACAATTTGTAGACACTAATAAATAGTTCATTTCGTTAGAAGAAATTATTTTTTAAACTGCTACCCGTCTCAAGTTGTCGCCTCTTGAAATTTGTAAAATTTATATTTTTGGTACCTTATATTTCCGAAACTGTAAGCTTCTTCAAATTTCTATAAACGCAGAAAGCTAATAGTAAAATTCCATGCCATTCAAAAATTCAATTTTTTTCTTAAATCACGCATTTAATCTTTAAAATCGAGCAATATGTTAACACCTCTTTAAATTTATTTTTGCTTTATTTCGAAGATTGCATATGCGATCCTTGTTTCATATATGAATGAAACTAATTTTAATATTCATAAATTGCTTCTAAAAACAGTATTTCCACTTGTTGAAGAGAAAAGTGCTATATTACAAACCATTATTTTTCTATTCTTTTTGTTCTTCTCGTAAATTTTACTATACAAATTTTTGTACAAATATTAATTTGATTTTATATCCAAATCCTTGTGAAATGTTTTTATTAAAGCAAATAAAAACTTACAATCGATTAACTTCCCGTGTAAAAATATGCGTTCATTGCGCCTACATAATCAGTACATTGACCTTTTGGAAAATTTGTTGACTGTAGAATAAGTTCTTGCATTTGAATTTAAATATGGGAGCGAGTTTTCTGTCTGTAATAATATGTGTATACCTAATAATAACAAGTCCTTTTTGATTAACTTTGAATTATTAATGATTTATTTTTGGGTTAATTATACAGAAATTTTATTTTGCTTGTTGTCGTAAAAAAGTTTTAAGGTTAAGTAAAATATTTTTCAAAACAGGAAATGTTCTTTGAAGAAGGAGAGTTTTAAATTTTCAAATTTCGTAAAAAATATTTGCCCATTTTTATTTAAAAAACGAGACAATTCATCTTTTTTTATAACAAATGAAAATCAATTCAATGCTTACGAATATTTTCAAAGTTTAGAACTGTATAATATTATTTGACATAACTCGGTAACCTTGTTTTAGTTTATAAGAACTGCATTAATCAAAATTGGACAAATTGTGAAATATATTGGACAGTTTATAAAATCTTTGAACTATCAAAAGTTTTCCAGTTACCAATGCCTTTCGTTTTCATTTAGTAGTTAAATTCCTTCAATATAATTACAGCATTAACAAAAAAAACTGTTACTAGAAGGATTAACTTGTTACTAGATACTAAAAAACTATTACTAGATACTATTTAAAATGTAGTAAATATCTAAAAATAAATTTATAAGAAATATTTTTGAGGAGAGGGTTTTCTAATATTCATATACATAACTGCATTTTCCTTCAATTTGTAAATCTTGTTGTTTCTTATATAATAATCTTATATAATATATAATATAATGTGTATATCTTAAATTACAAATATAAAATATTTGTGTTTCTTATAGAACAATTTTATATTTTTGTGATTTCGTAGTGGAAAAGGTAATAATTCCTACCTTCAAACAACAAATCGCTTTTTATATCCGCAACGACACATTCTGTAAGATGTAAGAATAAAATCGCTTATTAGAATAAAATTGTAAGTTATTACTCGAGTTGTAAACGAAATAAGATTTACATAATAACGATCTAACTGATTTTAATTTAGTATATTTCCCTTTGTTACAAGAAACATTGCTTAAATTGTTTTTCTTTAATAAATAGGTATTGAGTTGCTTTCCACAAAATAAGGGGTGAATATATTCACTTACCTGATAAGTATTCTTTCAAATAATACCAAATCACAATATTGTGCGTTTAATTTATTCAATATTAATCGCAAATCATTATATTGAAATGCATATTTAACATTCATTATACAATATTAATTCAATCATTTATATTTAATATAATTTTATATGGGTATACTTATGTATAACTACAACTACGATACAATGTAAGTTATGTCATAAAAAATCCAGTATAAAATCGACTACAAAAATCTACAGTTTTTAAAAATGTTTTAAATTTAAGTTTTTGTTTTGTTTTGTGTAACTTTGATTTGTAATTAATTGCACTTTTACGAGTACCTAAGTTATATTAATTAATTTTTTTCCCGGTGTTGTTTAGTTAACGCATATTCTTAACGTTTAATGTCATCTATTTCAGCAATACTAGCACATCGAACTAGCTCTGTACCATCAAACTCGACAGGTTGATCCCATTGTCGTTTTGCTAATATTTTACCAAATGTAAGATATCTCTCCCTCAATTTTTCTTTAACTTCATCTTCATTCATAATTGAACTGGCTTCACGGAAATTTAAAAATATCCGTCCTTGATCATCTGTTTTAATAGGCAATATTTCAGTGCAAACATTTCGTGCTTTCATTAGAAAACCTTCTTCTGGATTGGTTTTCGAATCAACAGATTGACTTCGTGAAGGTTTACCAGTTTTACATTTTTTTTTATTACGTAAACAGAATGGATCGCGATCACTTGCTTTTACATACTGAACCACGGGACGATTAACACCCCATTTTGGACGATCATCAATTTTTTCCTTACGTTTTTTACCATCCTTATTTTTCGCTTTGTATGTAGTTGTTGTTGTAGTTGTGGTTGTTGTCGTAGTTTCAGCATCAACACCTGGGGTACCAGGAGCTGTATTGCTAATATTGAATTTGGGTTTTGGTTTAGAAGTTTGATGTGTTGTCGTTGTGGTTGAAACTTCTCTTTTTAAATACACTTTGTAAAAATTATCATGGAACAAGCATAAATCGCAGTTTAATGGCAGTTCTGTTTGTGTTTCTGCATCTTGTTGATTACCACTTACTTCTTCACGTTTAAGCTTTGTATACACATTTTCATTTAAATCATCGTTTGTAAGTTGAAGTAAAGCGACTTGTTTGTCCTCGGAAATTTCTCTTACTGTTGGTATAGATTCACTTGCTTTTGCTGTAGAATCAGTGATATCGTCATTAATAGAAATATCAATGTTACTTTCACCAAAATTGGTAGAAGTGTTCTCTTTAAGACGATGACATTCACCACATTTGAAACATTTCCCATCGATGTCATTTGTTGAAACACTTTTTGTAACAAAAGTTGATGTAATTTCCGTTTCATGTTGTAAGCTGCTATTACCAGAATCTGATTTGCTTTGGCTACTTTCATTACTTGACGATTTTTCATCTTCCTCATCAGTTTTACTGTGTTCATCCTCAGTTTTACTGTGATTCGTTTGTTGCTTTAAAACTGTAGCCATTTGAGGAACAGTAACTCTAATCTGGGGTTGCATGTAGTAGGTAGCAACCTTTAAATTTCCAATAGAATTTTGTAACCCAATAACATCAGTTGTAACAGGAAGTGGAATAAGAGTAGTAGGTTGGAGAACCAGAGCTATACTTTCGATGTCTTGTGACTCGACAGAATACTTCTTTTTTGGAGAAAGTTTTTCTTCATTTTTATTTTGTTTTTGATAAGTTTTGCGAAAATTTATTGGTGTTCCAATTAATGTTTTTACTTCCTGTTCTTCAAATCCCTCATTTTTTGTAGGGCCTGCTTTTGAATCTGAGATTTTTTCAGCTGGCTTTGGTTCTGAAATATTTGAAAAATGTTCAGTCTTTTCGTTTAATAACTTATTTGTAGTTGTTTTTAAATCTTGTGCATTTGCTTGCGTATCTATATCCTTTTCCTGAGACTCAATCGATTCTTTTCGCGGTGTCATAGTTTTATCGATCCGTTTTTCGAAATTATTTTCCATTTGACTTTTTTTTAAAGATTGTTCATTACCATTATAATTTTCATTGCTAGATAATGGCTCTAAGGATTTTTGCCTTCCTTTTTTCCGTTTATCTTTTTCCAATTTAGCTTCTTCTTCAGCTTTTGCAATAGCAGCTAACAACATTTCCTGTTTCTTTTTCTGAGCTTCAGCCTTTTCTTCAATCAGCTGTTGTTCATATTTAACACGTTCCGCTTCTATTTGTTGCTGTCGCAATGCCCTTTCTTCTATTATTCTTTCTTCTCTTAGATGTCGTTCTACTTCCCATTGTCTTATTCGTTCTTGTTCTTCTAGCTGTTGCTTAATTGCATTTTGATATTCTAATGCTTTACGTCGTTTAGAAACTCTTTCAGCTAATGTTGCTGAATCTATTGGAGCGTTTTGTCCTCGTAAATATGATAATGAATTAACTGACTGCATATCATCTTCACTTTCTTTTAGATCATGAGAACCACGATTTAACCAACCTGGTGTTCCGGTACTATTGCTATTAATATTATTATGCAAATATCTATTTTCACTCTGCACACTAGAATTATCCGAATTATATTTACTATTCCAATTACTCCACTTAGCGCGTTCTTGTTGTTCAGTCATTCGTTGTGGATTATAATATTCTGCTGGTTCAGAATATACTGGAAATGTTCCAGAGGTTGAAATGTCACGACTGGGTGGCATTGTACTTGTAGGTGACATGTAATAACCACTAAAAGCAAATAATTTTAATAATCAATCATAATTATTGATATGAAAAGCTCAATAAATTACTTGAAAATTAGGACAGTTATTGAACACTTAATAATATAATGTTAGAGTGAGTAGCTTTTGTTTTGTCCTTTCTTCAGTTGTTCGTGTAAAAGTTATAAACTTTAAGAATTTGTTTTATGATAGCATTTGTAATTATTGTATATAAGAATTGTATATAAGAATTTGTATATAAGAATGTACAATTTTCAATTGAAAGTTATGTTTCGAAAAAATTCAGAGGACTTTTTACAATTTAAGCGTTTAAAAAAATTACGTTTTATTGAACTGTTATAATTTTACAGACCGAAAGGTTAAAAAAATAATGTTTTATAAGAATTATTTAGAGTCATAAAAGTCTTACGTCATAAAATTATAAAAAAAAACAATAAAAACAAATTTGCGTGTTATTAAAAACTTACTTTTGATAATCCATATCCATTCCATGACCAGTAATTACTCCATCAAGGTCATTTATTGACCCCACTCTTAATCCTCGGAAACCACGAATATTAGTATCGATCCTTTCGCGGTGAATTTGGCCGCTACCACCTTTCAAATTTTCTAAGTTATTACGTTTAGCGTTATAATGTATATTAGCAATATTTTGATAGTCCTTAAAATCTTTACTAGACATTCGACCATTTTGAGTGTTATTATTATGTTTATGATTCATTGTTGTCCTACGATTATTTTTATTGTTATTCTGCCTCATGTTTGTGTCACAACTACCATCATTATACCAAATATCAGGGCTCTGTTGCTGAGTCGTTATCGGTGGTGGCGGAGTGTCACTAGTGTATCCCGATGTATCTTCTTCTAGGGAATGGTGTGGCATTAATTGATTTTGTTTTCGATTCATATTGTTATTAGTAGTATCTCTATCTGCTTTTGAATAATTGATATTGTTATTATTACTATTGAAGTTTTTATTATTTTCAGACTGATGATGACTGTGGTGTATTGCTGGTAAACTTGGACTTCGCGGTCTCAGTTCTTTCATTTGTGATGGAGATAATGTCGGTGTATTACGTGTTGATTCTTGCTGAAGTATAATTGCAGTTGGTGCTTGTCGGTATTGGTGATGATGATTGGATAATGAAGACTGTATTTGTACCGCAGCAGATGTATTAACTGGTTGTGACGGTGGTGATGGTAATACTTGAATTGGTAACGATGCTTGAGGACGCGGAGTTATAAAAAATCTATTGTTTCCTTCATTATTGTGTAAAGGATAATCATCATCATTGATAAGTTCAAAACTACTGTTGGCTATAGCTGCAACTGAACTATTTAATGCTCTATGGTGATTGTTGCTATCGTTATGTTGATTATTATAATCGTTACCGCTATTGGAATTCGAAGTATTATTGTTAAAATTCCTTTGGTGTTCTTGTTGTGTTGGTGGGTTATTATAATTATTGCTATTATTAGTGTTATAATAGTGCTGGAATTGATTGTGAGGACTGTTTAAATGTGAGCTAGCGCTGATATTTGTTTGTGTTAAGTCTACATTTGAATAAAACGTTCTAATTGATGTACGTTCTGATTTAATGGAAGCATGAGAAAACATTTCACCAAGTCGAGATAATTCTTCTAGATAAATAAAACAAATTAAAGAATGCTGAAATATCTTAAATATTCCACAGCATAGAATTTGAATAGAGGAAGAATATTACCTTTTTCTTTAGCCCATTGTTGCTTTTTAAGGTCTAGCAGAGATCTGCCTTTATATATACTCATATCTCAAATAACATTTTAAATGCAAATTCCTATTTTAAATTAAAATATATTAAAAAAATCCAGTACATCAAATTAGAATAAATTTTTCAATTGAAAACATCTCACCATTATATTTTTGAAAAACATCAAGCTCCACGTCCTGCCAAAATACAACTAAACTATGAAGACTTTTATTATTTTCATTAAACAAAAGCTCTACAGAACTTTTATTTCGATTTTTAAAAATATCCGAGTCAATATAAACAAAAAATAGTTCTAAATTTGTAATTCTCTATATTTCTACGTATGGAAGTATGTTCGTTATAATTTTCATATTGTATAAAAATTATTTAATATAAAATTAACTTCCTTAACCGCTAATAGCACGAAAAGTTAAACTTAGAGGTTGCGTAATATTTTGCTTTATTAACTGCTAGTAAACTTTTAAGGAAAATTTTATTTAATTTCAGAGTTGTAGAGAAACAAATTTTCTAGTTGGTGTATTTTATGATTTTATATTTTTCCTTGCATCAGTTATGAATCATTTTAAAAAAAGGCTTGCACTTATATAAAAGATCAAAAAATTGCCATTCAGCAAATAAATAATTCATGCAATTGAATGAATGAAAAATTTTTTTTCTAAATATCGTATAGCTGCTTCAGTTCAGTACTTGTTTGATCACTTTTTGACTTAAAGAATGCCTTTTAATATTTCTGACACTAACCTTTCATAATTTGTAACCGGGTTTATTCTCTCTTCAACAACTCTTGAAATTTTTGTTGTTTCATTACTTTACATTTTAAATAATTGTTAATACGGAAAGCAATAATCGTATTTTAAATAATTTCTTTTTGTTGTCCAATTTCGGACATCCTCAAAAGCCTGCACAACCCCGAAATCAACAATTTTGAGTTATAAATAGAAAATTAATAAGCATGCCGAAAATAGTTTTAAATAAATATATGTATATACTTAAGTAAAAGAAAAATTGCCACAAGATATCGATATCATCATACATTTATTAGACAATCATTAGAAAAAACGTTTTTACCAACCGCATTACATTCAATAAGCTTGTATGATAGCACCAAATTTGAGATGTTAGATTTACGGTTTGTTTATTTTGGCTATGACGGATTGATCTTTTCGGAAATAAATTTTTTGGAAAGGTCAGGGTTCGGAAACCGAACTGGACGCTGATTTTACATTTTAATCTCTGATCTCTAATTTTAATCTGATACGGAACAGATTGATGGAATTTCTGGAAATTTGATATTTGAGTTCAGGTTAACCAGAGAACGGTTCAGGGAATTTTGATTAAACATAGTGGAATTCTACTAAGAGTCAAATTAACAGTTTTTTATGTATGTCAGCTAAAAGTTTATGAACTTCCTTAAAATTGAAAGGAAGTGTTTTAAGGGCATTTTCATAATATTCTGTATCTTTAATACTTTCACTAAACTATGGGCTGACAAGATTTTGCGTTGAATGTTATTGTTTTTTATATTAGTTTACAAAAATGAGAAGAATTATACAAATTTCTTCATAAATGAAAGTACGTTTATATAAGTTTTAAGTTAATAATACTATCTTGTTAAATATTGTTAAATATATTTGCAGATGAAATATGTTTGTATAGGGTTTTTTTGATAGACGATAATATTGCATTTTTGACATTTCAATTGAAGTCGATCGAGTTTGTTGTTGAAAACATGAAAAATTTATTAAAAGCTCCCTCAGTTTAGCGCATTGTGTGGCAGTTAAGAAGGTATTTTCTCTCGTTGATTTGACTAAAACTAAATTGATCAACTCCTTATATGTTGAAAGGCAAGCAGCATTTTAAATTCAAAAGAATTATATAAAAATATGGATGCGAAAAGGAAGGAACCAAGTTGTGATCTTATTTAAACTTGCAATAAGAAAATTTGCAGTATTGTAAACCGTGTTTTTATGAAATATAGGAATTGGCTCCACTTTTCTGAAAATGGCTCCCTTCTTCGAATATTTCTGAAAAGTCTGCTCTTTTATCTTTTTTATGTAAAAGCAAAGAGAAAAAAAATGGAAGTATTATGTAGAATTCACTCTACTTTTAGTAACAATGCTTTTATTGATTAAAAGTTTAACAATCATAACAAACCTGCTTAGCTTCTCACATAAAACTTAATTTAGAGTTTTCAATTCAGTATTTCTCATTTTTCTTTGTTTCGTTTAAAAAACTGAAAGTTTTTTCTATAATAAAAAAAAAAAGTGAATAGAAATAAATGCTATCACTATAACTGAATTAGAATAAAAGGACACGCTCTTGCACTATTCTAATTTTGTTACCTTGACTACCAAATGTTTTTAACAAAACATTGCCGCTTGATTGCATGTAAATTGCTTTTTTTATTTTCACCTTTGTTTCTTTTTTTTTGTGTTTTTTTCTTTGTACTATTATGTACAGAATGTATTATAATAGATATCCTACCTTGGGTACTACGAAAATTATCGTATATTAAATATTCTATATTAATGTACATATACATATGTGTGCTCAAAGTAATATGTATAAACTGAATTGACTGACATGGCGCGACATATAAAAATTTTATTTAGTAATTGAGTTCTTTTTTCTGCACATAGTATGTTAAACCTATTGACTAGTTTGTAAGAAATTTAAATATTCATTTTTTTCTATTCTTAGATACATTTATGTGTTACAGGTATACGTACATATTTGTTCACTGAAATTTAAATTTAATAATTTAGTAACAGAAAGGATTGCCGAAAAACATACATATGCTACCCGTAATGTAAAATAACATAACGATTGAATGAACTAAGAAAGCTTTACATTTAGCAAAGAGCGTCTTTTGTTCTATACCGAAAGTTAACTATTCTGGTTTCAATTTTTAAAAACAGTAGAGTTGACTTCAATTTGAGAGTAATAAATTTCAAAGAAATTAAAAGAAATGGAATTAAAAGCTGCAATACAAGGTTAGTAAATTTCAATTAGCGTTATTCATTTTAAAATAGAAACGCAAAAATCTGGATGAATTCAATCTTTGTCACCTAGTAAAGATCACCCGTTTTTAAGGCCTTATTCTCTCTGAAATTTTATACTCTAGTATTAAAAAGGGAAGTTTCATTTCGAAGCGAACCACATTAATTTTTATTACTTTCATTTTGAATTTAAATGGTATAGATAACCCTTAATAAAAAATTTTTTAAATAATTTTGATATAATTTAAAACTACAATTTCACTTAAAATGTCGTTGCATGCAACCCTTTCTAAATAATACACAGTTTCATATACTACAATATATTTTCTTAATGGAAAGCAAAATATTGGTGTAAAACATCAAGGTTGTTAAACTTTGAATGTCCTTTTTAATATTAAATTTTATTACATAGTCCAGTCAGTCATGCAAAGTTTAAATGCTACATTTTGTTTATACTTTAACCCAATTATTATGAAAGCTTTAAACATAGTTTAAAACAAAAAAAAGGAAAAATGTCATGCGGTAGTTCTTAATTTAAATTTTTTTGTATTAAAGAAATCAACTTGAGTCAATGTTGTACTATTTAGGTATTAGTTACTTAAAACTATTATTTAGGATGGTATTTGACTTTTTAGGATAGTGCTTCAGGTATTTCAAAACAAAATGTTAAATAGAATTCTTTAGCTTTAATCTATTATAAATCTAAATAATTTTTTATTCTAATAATTAAACTTTATCGCCCTCATAAAGTACCAAAATTTGCGAAACTAAATAATAATATTGTAATTGTGCGTCGCATTCAAGAAAAAATAATAGTTTAATAAATAAATTAAATTGCATAGGTCATATTTTTATTTCATTTTACATAATTTACATTGGGTATTAAGTGTTTCATTAAGTTTGTTAATTAAGTTTGTAGATACTGTTAAATAATAAAAGAAGTAAAACACGGCTAAACAAATAAATTAATATTGAAATAAATAAATAATAAATTAATCTAAATTAATTTATTATTTATTAATTTATTTTATAGATTAATCTGTGTAATAGAACGGATATAATATTGTTGTTGTAACAAATTCTTTAACTTTCTGAGATTTCTGCTTGATAATGCTACAAAACTCTTGAATCTAAGAAAAATTATTTAATCAAGTTCAGTTATCATACCGTGTCTGTAATTTTATGAGCCAAGTTGGCACACATATCTCTTTTTTATATACTATCATAAATGTTGCTATAACTAAATTAGTGTTACTGCTAAATTATAATATAACAATTTTCCAAATTTTATCCTTTGACATTATAGTTTTGCGGTCCTTTAGAATTTTGTTGGGCTTGTGCTTGATATAAAGCATAATATTGAGCCGCATTACTGTAACCGCAGTCCGGACAAGTACCTGGGCTTCCAGGTGGCCCTCTAGGTCCTTGTTGGCCTTCTCTACCTGTATCTCCTTTATCACCTTGTCTTCCGGGGAATCCATCTTCTCCACGTTCTCCAGGTACACCTTGAGGTCCTTGTGGTCCAGGTTGACCCTGACGTCCATGCCCATCTTCACCACGAGGTCCCGGGGGACCTGGTTCACCACGTTCCCCTAAAAATTTTTACATGCTTGAGCAAGGAATATGTGCAACATAAAATATACCTTGTGGCCCTATACTTCCTTGTGGCCCTGGTGGACCAACAAACCCTGGCGATCCTCTAGGTCCAGTAGGTCCCCTTTCACCTTACAGATACATTTATTTATAACTAAGGGGAAATTATTTTATCTTGAATTTTCTTACCTGGCTCCCCTCTTATTCCTGGAGCACCTGGTGGACCTGTCCTTGATTTTCCTGGAACTCCAGGTGGCCCAATCAAAGATGGCATTATTTCGGCAATGTATTCTCTTACAACACCCATGCAAATGTCTCGAATTTGATCTTCTTGAAAAGGGGCGTAATTAGTTGCGTTATATGAATTGTATTCCGTAATATACGAGCGTGGGCCAGGTAAACCTGGAGGTCCTGGCGGACCTTGTTGTCCCTGCTCCCCTGGTCTTCCAGGAGCCCCGTTAAAACCTGGTTCACCTCGATCACCTTTTTCCCCTCTGGAAAAGTTCGTGGCTCCCATACTAGTTTCTATTGTAGTATATCTTACTTCACCTGGTGGACCTGGTAATCCCGGTGGTCCAGGAAATCCTGGTTTACCTATCCATAATGTCGCTTAATATTTAAAGTTTTCTCAGATTTAATAAGATAAAATTTTTACCTGGTGCACCGGGGTATCCCGGTTGTCCTCGTTCTCCAACTGGTCCCTCTTTACCTGGTGGGCCCATTGTACCGTATCCTGCCTGACCTCTTGGACCGGGTGAGCCTGGTGGTCCCGGAGGACCTGACAAACCCTTGGAAGATAGTGAAAAGTTATATATTTATAATAAAATTAGTGTTACCTTACCATTTGACCTGGCGGTCCTCGTGGACATTGTTCAGGGCATACGCTTTGTGCTGTTAGATTTGCGCCAAATATTGGAGGTATTCCAGCTGGTTTATTTGGTGGCTCATTCGATAATACATCATACTTAGGAATTTCTTCACAATTTGTTCTAGTTGGCTTTTCGGCATCACAATATAGTATTAATAATTGTATATCAACCTTAAAAACGTACTGTGGAAATAATATATTTTTTTAAATAAAGAAAGGCTTACTGGTATTGTTCTTTCAGTTTTTGCAACTTTCGCAATGCTAAAATAACCTTCGAAATTATGTATCGGTCCACGTGGTTCCAATTGGGCTCGGCGTAATCCATAAATATCAGTTATAGGTCTACAGTCTACCCATAACCTTACAGTATCTCTATCAACAGAAAGCATAACTTTGTGCCATCTATTATCAAAAAGCTGCAATAAATGATTAAAATAAAAGAAATATTTTATGTTAAAGGTAAATGATGTAAGTAATGTACTAGAAATAATAATTTTCAACACACCGAACTTTCTCTGAAAGAAACTGTTTGCAAATCTCCTTGAATTGTGGGTACTGAAAAATCAATGGTATGGTAACTTGGGTTTATTGTTACACTCATTTGTTCGTCAAACGAATAATCAGTTATTTCTAGTAAATTCCAAGGTTGTTTTAAACTAGACGGTGTACGAAAAACACTTTCTAATGAAAAATCCATCGGAAAACCACTGGGAAATGCTTCAGTAGCTTTAACTGTTAAATTGGATTCTTCTTCAACTCGATAAGCAGTATATTGTTGTGCTGAACCTTCGATTTGTTTGACTTCTTCATATGAATAATATTCTTCATATTGATCAAAATGAAGGTGTCGTAATAAATCAAAAGTTTCTAAATTAGTATTAACTTTCACATGATTGTCAAAGGAATACCCTGAATGTGAAACTAAAAATATAATATTTAATTTATGACACTATTTTATTATCTAAATACGCACTCTGGCAGTTTATTATTCCTATAGAAATTTTGAATATATACACAATTTTTAAAATATGTGTAATACCAAACATTTTTGAATTTATATTTTGAAAAAAAAAAAACGAAATACTTAAACTTATACTATACACAAATTAAAAAAACATTAAGTAAGAATTTGCATTGGCAGTGAACAACTATTTTTTCTTTTTTTAAAAATTATTTGCTGACTATCGCCTTCAATATCTAAGGCAAAACTAAATTTATATTCGAACATAAGATCTCAATTGAATCATTTTATTTCCTTAGTTTCAAATTAGAGCATATCTACACACTAATTACACACACTCGTATTATATAATTATTTTTCTAATTATTTGTGTAATAGTCAAAATATATTAAGTTGCTGCACATATTTTTATTTTTAAGGAGATCCGTTTACTAGTTTTCATTTACAGTTTCAAAATATTTAATTTTATGCGTAAAAGCACATAACAATACATGCTTACATAATTTGATCTAACTATCTACAAATACCATATTTTGATCAATACTTACAGTTTGTGTTCTTAAGAAAAAGTGTAAATAAATATTTTATAATTTAAATTAAAAACCAATGAACGGTATGGTTCCATTAACTTGTTATAGCTTCTTTTAGTTTTTGCTGTTATGGTAAAAGTTTGCAATATTTATGATCTGAATTTTACACTCATATTTCATTTTTTTATGAATATATACTTTTGTATAACTTTGTTCATTTTGAAGGTTTTTTAATTTTTTAAATTTTTATGCAAAATCATAGATTAACTTTCCTTCCCCGAGCAAACACAAAAGTATATAAGGTATTCAAGTAAGTAAATTTTTAAATATGTCAGAATTTCCCAAAGATATTTTTTTTTTATTGAAAACTTATTTCTTATTATATAGAATTAAGGTACATAGTATACAAATACATGGGTATAAACTCATTTACAAAGGAAACTAAAATATTTTATTGATTTTTGTAAAATAATTTTTATGTATGTATAGATGAACATTTTATTCTGAAGATCGTTTAAGCTCCACATTCTTAAAATTAATTAATTCTTATCAAAATAAAAAAACTACACTTACTCAAAAATTTTGATTTTATTACTTAAACAATGAATATGTATAAAATTTTATGTTTTTTTTTTTAATGAGTTAAAAGAAGAATAAAAATTTGAAAATAATTAAGCAGCTGAGTTTTTTATATATGTTCCAAAAAAAAGCTTTACATATTATGAAAAGTTAATTATCAGTAAATTAAATATCTAATACACTAGAAGATAATTTAAATTTAGAATATAAGTATGTAATTATAAAGAACATACTTAAGTATAAGTATAACGCTTAGATATTTTATGCATGCATATACGTTGTTATGGAAAGTTGTAAAAAGAATCAAAGCAAGAAAACCCTATTTGACCTTATTTTATTACTGTATGGACCCTCCTTTAAAATTTTAAAATGTTTCATCAAATTTCGTTAACTAACTCATTTCTTTAACTAATTTTCTTAGGGCAAAATATAATTATTAACCATCAATTTATGCTACACAATAAAACTTAGATTATATAGTAATATAATATACTGCATAATAAAAATTATATCATAAAACTTTAACAATTATAAAATTAATACTGCAAACTACATGTTAATATTTAGCCTACATAAGAAGTTATATAGTTATACATACATTGAAACTATGGAAAACGTCAAAAATATTCGTTACATGAAATGTCAACAATTGATTCGGACTAATTATAAAAGAATGTAACAATTCTGATTTATAATGGCGACTCCATTACATGAATGAGCAATTAATGTGGGCCTACGACCGCTTTTTTTCGAAGCCATCGGTTTCCTATTTATACTAAATGAAATTTTTTGTTCCATTCACCAATATTCTCGTTCATACATAATTTTAATGTTTTTCAATAATTTTAATGAAAAATCCGTTATCAAAACTTTCATTAGTAAGTGTAGGAAGTAAAAATAATTTGTATAACAAAAATAATTTACTTTATATTTATGAAAATAATCTAAAACCAAAAAAAAAACATTGAAACAAAAAAGTTTTCAAAAACTGAGAGTTGATGGAAAAATGTGTGATAATCACAAATCATTTTAAACTTGAAGTTCATTCTATCTATCAACATTGATTTCATAAATAAATGAAATTAGAACTAAGTGTATTTTTAGTTACAGATGTGTATGTATATATTTTCATAGATACATTTGGTTTAATTTTTGTGTAATTTCTTCTTTTAAAATTTGTGCGACATTTAACGAAAAGTATAGCATAATAAATTTTAAAATGAAGCTTCTCTTCAATTCAATTTTAAATTTAAAATTAAATTTTCATTTACTTTGAATACAATAAGACAAGTACGAATTCACTGAACATTATAATTTTCATATTATGTTTAGCATTATTATAATAAATTATTGTTATCATATACATAACAACTTATTAAAATTTTAACATTTCAATTAACAAATTTAGTATACTAAATAGGAAATAATAGCGGGAAAAATGATTGTAAAACAATATTTCAATAATTTAAATAATAATACGTACGAAATTATACAAATAAGTACATACACATTTGTATATACATATTTAGATATATACAAATAAATTAGTGAGACAAGATTATGCAAAATAAAAAAATAAGACAAAACATCTTTATAAATTTCAAAGTCTAACAAAATATAGAACATTATTGTTCACTGCAATGTGAATTTAATTTATATAACATAAACAGATTATTGTACATTGTGTACGCAAAAGTATTTGAATGAATGAATAGAGTATAATGTAATATATGTATACATACACTGATGGAGTTATATAAAAAGAAAACAAAAATAGTTGGCCTGCTGTTCCTGTCAACTTTCGTAAAAAACTCTTTGAACAACTTTCTCTACTTTGTCATTTTAAATGTGAATATTGAATATTTTCCTGATGTTGATTAAATATAATGACTTTTATATCGGGAAATTATATAATTCAATTGTCATTATCGAATTCACGAGTGTAATCACAAAATTTTTATTTATAATTTGTCTGCATTTCATATTAAATTGATGTTTCTGAAAACTCTATTGAAGGTTATAAGACAAAATTTAAAAACGAATTTAATGGAAATCAAGTGGATTCAAATTTCGTTGTTCAGCTTGTATATATGACATATGTTCGTGTCGCGTGTTCTTCTCCAAAAATACTTGGAACGGATAGTGGCAATATTTTTGTATCAAAAAATTCTGTCATCAGTTCGTACCCATTTTGCAAAGCGATCCTTAATATGAAAGAAAAAAAAAATTTGTCAGTAATTCATTTAATACACCAAGAGTTATTCTTGTAAAAGCCTATTTTCCCGAAAAAAAATATTTCAAATTTTTTTCTTATTCTTGAAAAGTTTTTTTTTCGCAACCCTTTTTTATAATATGAAATCAAATAAAGTACAAAACTAAAAGTGGTGTTATAAAAGAAATTTAAAATTTTGAAGTCGAAACGAAAACTAATAATATTCTTTGAAATAAATTTGCATCGCCTTAAATGATTTAAAATTCAAACACAATCATGTATTTTACACATTTATTTTTCAAACTACCGCCACCATACTTATGTACGTATTTATTGAAAAATTAAATATACTCATAATATTACGCAATGTTAGAGCAAAAGTACAAAAACAAAAATACAAAAAAAAAATCGAAAACAATTGAAAAATGACTGCACACGCTTTTTATTTTTATTGTTACTTTTTCAGCATAATTTAATAATTTTTGTTTTTTAATTTTTATACTTCTTCATGGTACTTAAAACAATAACGGTGTATCACCTCTAACCACCGACATTTCAAATTATATCATTAAAGTACCATACATACATATGTACATAAAAATATACATAAATATTTTATTGCATGCTTGCATCGAAAACTCATATGTACATACATTCAGATATGGTATAATATGCATTATATGTATACAGACACACATAAAAATACTAAAATATAATACATGGAACATGTGTAATAGTGTACACTGTAAACCTCATTTGTTTTAAAGAAAATTCGGCGAAGGTTATAAGACAATTGACTTCAGTTTTTTTTTCTTTGTTCTCCTTTTTTTCGTTTTTCTTCAAACCAAAACAAAATAAAAAAAAATTAAATGAAATCAGCTCAAGTACACAATGTTCTGGCAAAAAAAAAATTATTAATAAAAAAGTAGTAGAAAAATAAAATATAATAGAATTTTATTTAATAAATAAAATAATTAAAATAATAATTGTATATGTAAGTGAATATATTTTAGACAGAGCAGAAGTTTTCAAATGTTTATGATGGCATGCGACACAGTTTATCATAATTATCATAACTATTGCATGATGCCACAGAATAGACAATAACTTTAATGTGTAATTTAAAAAAAAATAAAAATATTTTGTATTATCAACATTAATTAAATGTCTTAGTAAACATTAAAAGTACGCCAAGTCCTATTTTTTATAAAAAAAAAAATTATTATTTTATTAAGTGTATATTATTCGTAAAGAAAAGCTTTGAATAAACTGAAATATTGTGCTAGTAGAAAATTAAGTTAAAACCGATATTTTGACTAAGTGCAGGTTTATTATACCCGTACGAAGGTATGTTCGAAGGGTATACTAAATTTGCCTTACCGTTTATAACGCTAAGAAATAACGGTGTCAGATATGGACGCAAGTGTATGTTTTTGATCAGCGTCAAATTCTGAGTTGATTTAGCTTTGTCTGTCCGTCCGTCCGTCCGTCCGAACGATAACTCAAAAAACAATTGAGCTAAGTTCACCAAATTTTCACAAATGATTTATTGTAGTAAGTGTCAGAACCCTATTTAAATTGGACGTGACCGGGGTACCGGTTCAGGCAGCTGCCATACAACTTCAAAATTTATTTGGCTATATCTCAGAAACTATAAAAGTTGTGGTATTAAAATTTCAAACAAACGAATATATTAGTAGGGCCAATATGTCTGATAAAAGTCATTCAAATTGCTTGGCTCCTTCTGGTAGCTGCCATACAACTTCAATAGCAGTTTGGCACAACCAGTATATTGAAAAACACATAGTACTGAAATTTTGCATAAATTAATATGGTAATACGGCAACTTAAAGTCATAGTCTGCCCCATAATTAGTTATGGCAGATTAGTTATTCGCACATAGGATA